TCCGAGAGCTCGCAGTCTGGTGAGGAAGACAAATGAGCAAAAAGCTACAAATACAATGTAACAGGGCAAGTGCTATGATGAGAAAGATACCAATAAGGGGCTTTGAAAACAGACTGAGTCTGAAGTAACTGAGGAAGGCTTTTTAGAAGATGACAGTGCTGAACCAGTCACAGTGCCAGAGGGGAGGCGAAGGGCATTTCAAATGAAGGAAATGATGTGCAAATGTACTAAGGTGTGCAAAGCATGGCCTGCCTGGGGCACTGGTGCTGGTGAAACAGAATAGAAGCCACAGCAGGAGGCCCTTGGAGACCATGCTGAGGGACTTCAGGCTGTATCCTAGGCTAAAACATTTTAAACAGGGGGATAGCTGGATAGGATTTCAGTTTTAGACCTTTCTTGCAGCAGTGCTCAGCAATTGGGAAATAAAACCAGGTTGGTGGCCAAGAAGCAGCTTTAAATCCAGGGTCAGAAAGCTTAGTAGCCACCAATGGCTGGGGGCAGGGAGGACGAGTAGTGGCTGCAAATGGGTTCAAGGGATTTTGCAGGGGTGATGGAAATGTTCTAAAACTGGATTGTGGTGATGGTTGTGAAACTGTTTACCTGAAGCCATTTATTGTATAAAAGGAGCAAATTTCATTGTATGTACACTATACTTTAAAAAGGCTGTTAGGAACAACAAAAGGTGCAATTGCAGATACTGAAGTACCCTAGATCAGGGGTCTCCAACCCTCTGGCCGAGGACCGGTACTGGTCTGGTCCGTGGCCTGTTGGGAACCGGGTCCCACGGCAGGGGAGTGGCCAGCCAGTGAGCAAGCATTACTCCCTAAGCTCTCTGCCTCCTGTTAGATCAGTAGCTGCATTAGATTCTCATAGGAGCCTGAAGCCTATTGTGAACTGCACATGAGGGATCTAGGTTGCATGCTCCTTACAAGAATCTAATGCCTGATAATCTGAGGTGGAACAGTTTCATCCCAAAACCATTCCCCCAACCACTGCCCATGGAAAAATTATCTTCCACAAAACCAGTCCCTGGGCCAAAAATGTTGGGAACTACTGCCCTAGATAAGGATTGTCGAGGGCCTATAATAGGCACTAGAGATTTAAAATCAGCTCTGGAGAGTGGGTGGAGGAGTGAAGTCAGGGATGGGCCCTGAAAACCTGGGAGGAGTCATGGAATAGGACCAGAAGGAGAAGCAGGGCTTTGGGGGAACATGAGCTTGGGTTTCGATATGCTGAGTTCAGAGAGCTCCTGTGGAGAGCAGGGTTTCTTAAATTTTGCATGACTGGCATTTTGGGCAGGATAACTATTATTGTAGGTGCTGTCCTGTGCCTTGTAAGAGGTTTAGCAACATTCTTGTCCTCTACCCACTAAATGCCAGTAAAATGTGACTACCAAAAATGTATCCAGCCATTACCATGTCCGCCCTGGCAACCAAAAGTACCCCAGTTGAGAATCACTTATCAAAAGATCTTAACTCATGATTTTTTTTCTTAGGTTTTTTTTTTGAGTTATAATTCATTTAAAAGTATACAACTCAGTGATTTTTAAATATATTCACAAAGTTGTACAACCATTCTATTAATTCCAGAACATTTTTTTTTCTTTTCTTATTGTTTGAGAGACAGAGTCTCGCTCTGTCTCCCAGGCTGGAGTGCAGTGGTGAAGCCTCGGCTCACTGCAACCTCCTTCTGCCGGGATCAAGGGATTTTCCTGCCTCAGCCTCCTGAGTAGCTGGGACCTCAGGCATGTGCCACCATGCCAGGCTAATTTTTTGTATTTTTTAATAGAGACAGGGTTTCACCATGTTGGCCAGTATGGTCTCAATCTCCCGACCTTGTGTTCCGCCCGCCTCAGCCTTCCAAAATGCTGAGATTATAGGCATGAGCCACTGTGCCTCGCCAATTCCAGAACATTTTCATCACTGGCCCCCAAAAACTCCATATCCATTAGCAGTCACTCTCCATTTTCCTCTCTTCTGTCCCTGGAAATCACTAATGTAGCTACTGTCTCTCTGGATGTGCCTCTTATCTGATAGTACAGATAAGCAGAATCATAGAATACGTGGCCCTTCACGTCTGCCTTCTTTCACCTGGGATGTTTTCAAGTTCATCCATGTGGTAGCATTAATCGGTACTTTATTCCTTTTTACGGCCAGGTAATCTTTCATTGTGCGGTTTGTTCGTCGCACAATGAAATGAAATGAAATCTTTCATTTCAGTTTGTTCGTCGAATCATCAGTTGGGAGATATTTGGATTGTTTCCACTTTTTGGCTATTATGAATAATGCTGCTATGAACATTTGTGTACAAGTTTTGTGTGGACATATTTTTTTCTTTTCTTGGTTATACATCTAGGAGTGAAAACGCTGGATCATGTGCCAACACCGTTTAACCTTTTGAGGAACTACCAAACTATTTTCCAAAGTGGCTGCACCATTTTATGTTCCCAGCAGCGATGTATAAGCGTTCCAGTTTTTCCATATGCTTGCTATCATGTGTGAGTGTCCTTACCTTTTGTTTTCATTTCCAGAAAGCACTTACTATTAGGCTAGATTGTTTATGACGTCATAGATGAGAAAATGAATGGTTAGCAGAGGGTGGCTTGTACAGGGTCACACTCAGGGGTAATTCCTTTCCAGCACAACTATTTTATTCTATGTTGAAAACTGTATAATTATAATTCTACTCTATCTTTCATGTAAGATGCTGACAGTCTGACATGTAATCTGATCTATTTTTGCTGGTTTCTTTAATTTGCAGAGATGTGGCCACAGTTAAACCCCTTTCCTCTCAACTCTCAAAATATATCATTTAGCAAGTATCCTCTTTCTGCTGTGTCATTACTTCCCCCTCGTTACTGGATCATTCCACTTCTATCTGTATAATCCCATAATATTTCCTATTTTAAAAATATAATAAAACTCCTCTTGACCCCTTATTTCCTGCCAACGTCTATCCCATTTGTCTGTTTTCCTCTGCAGCAAAGCTCTTCAAGAGTTCACTTGACTGTTTCCAATTCCTCTCCCATTCTCAATCCAGCTTTCATTTCCAAGATTCCGCCAGAACTCTTGAAAAAGTCACCAATGAAAGCTCTTGTGAAATCCACATGATTGATTCTCAGCCCTATTACTCAACTCATCAGAGAATCATTCCCTCCTTAAACTACTGTTTTCACTTGGCTCCCAGGACACTGCTCCCATGTTTTTTCCCTACTTGACTGCTCTCTCCTCTTCAGACTCATTGGCTTGACCCCTCATTTTCCTAACCACTGAAGTTACAGTAACACAGTACTCAGTCCTTGGACTTTTGTTGTTCTTTACTTAGATGTCTATTAGGCATTTCAAATAAATCCCTGATTTTTTTCTCCTAAACTTCCTACCATCCTCCCCAAATCTTCCTCCCACAATTTTCCCCATATAGGAAATAGCAACTCCTTTCTTCTACTTTCTCAGGCCACTGACAGTGGGGTTATCCCTGACTCCCCACTTTCTCTCTCACACCATCCATCAGTTAGTGGCTCTTTTCCATGTTCAGAATCTAGCCTCTTCTTGCCTCCTCCATCATTTTAATGTTCTGGTCCCAGCCACCACCTCTCAACTGGATTATTACTATTGCCTCCTTGTTTCCAGCCTTGCCCCTACAGGCTATTCTCCACACAGCATCCAGAGTGATCCCTTTAACAAAGTAGGTCAGATCACATCATTCTGGTGAAAATCCTTCACAGGCTGGTTGTGATAGGTTGTTTGCAAAAAGGCCACCATAATGTCCCTCTTTATGTCGACACTCTTATGCAGACCCCTCCTATGCTGATTCTGGGCTTGGGTATGACACTTGCTGTGGTCAAGGGACAGTACAAACATGAAGCAAGCAGAGGCTTAGAAAGTCAGAGCTGGACCTATGCTGCTGCTGGGAATGCTTCCACAAACTGACTAGCCTCCTAGCGAATGCATGACCACATGGAGAGAAGCCACAACCATTCCAGCTGTGCCAGCTGAGTCAAGTCAAACTAGACCCTCTAGCTGCAGATGAGCTGGTTAGGCCAGAATAATATGGCCAGCCTACAGAATCGTGAAAAACAGTATGTTTGTTGTTTTAAGCCTCTAAATTTTGGGGTGGTTTGTTATCCGGCAAAAGCTAACTGATACATTGCCCATTTTGCTCAGAAAAAAAGCCAGTGTCCTAACGTGCCCTGCAAGGCCCCATATGATCTGGCTACCCTCATTCTGTGTCACTTCACTTACAGCCTCCCTGTTACTCATATTCAGCACTGTCCTATCTCAGGGCCTTTGTACTTTCTGTCCCCTTTGCCTGGGATGTTTGTTCCTCAGATACCTGCACTGCATATTCCCTTACTTACCTCTGCTCAGTTGCTACCTTACTGGGGAGAACTTTTCTTATCACCCTAAGAAAATACCCCTGGCACTCCCTATCCATCCCCCTTATCCTGCTTTTTCTTTTTAATTCTTATCTGAAAAATACATCACATATTTATTTGTCTGTCACAAACACACGAGACACCAGAACTTATGACCTGCAAGGGCAGAAATGTTGTGTCTTGTTTGTCATGGTAACCCTAGCACTTATGCTAGTGCCTGGAATTTTTTTATCAGCAGGAAAATGATGAAAGTAGTACTACTTCTGCCAAATTTGGTGTCTAGGTCTATTACCTGGAATGTTTCTAGAGGCTGAGGTGGGAAAAGTGGTGACTGTGCTCTATATTGGGGCATGTTACACTTAATGCAGGCTGAATTCCTATAGAACTGACAACCTAAAAAATATTCAAACGAATACCCAAGGATTAAAGAAAAGCAGCAAAACGCTGGCTTGTCACTGGCCAACTCAGAGCTTTGTTCTTTTGACCTCTCCTCCTTTCTCTTTATGCCCATTCTTTCCCCATTAGCCTGAACTAACTTTTCAGACATTCCCCATTGGTCTGAACACCAGTTTCTCAGATCATTAGTTCGCCAAATGATTGGGAAGAAACAAAAACTCCAGGAAAGTATTACCAGCATAGAAATTTATTTAAATTCAAAATAATATAGCTCTATAATAATATATTAATTATCTAAAGCAAATATCATCATTGGCTCTGAAACAGGTCTAAAGATGTCATTCTTTTTAAGTCAAAAAAATACATAGTAAGAATGTACAAGAAAGAAAAAAATATAAAAAGAAGTCTGCTGAGTGTGGGAGTTGGTGAGGGCTACACTACCACACTGTGACTGTCCACAAAGAAAACATGCAGCACCACTTCTCCTGCTTCGCAGTTCCCTGGAGAACCAACCAGCAACCCTGGTAATGCCGCAACCATTTGGTTAACAGGACAAACTTCCTGATGGACACAGATAGTAATTCACTGCATTTCCCTGCTCTAACTTCTCTGTTCACACCAATTCCTTTTCTTTCCTTTAAGGTGGGTTTCATCCTGTTGACAAAAGATTTGGTTTTATTTGTAAAGCAAATACTATCCTGATTGAAGTATTCAACGATTTAGTTGAGGATGCTCAGGGATCAAACTTTGTAAAAAGGTCAATTCAGCTAGTTAGCAGAGGCTATCAGTGGCTTGCAGGAAAAAAATTCAGATACTATGTTTGTTAAAAAGACAAAAAGAATAAGCGGTTTAAAAATGGGTGAAAAGTCCTAGGGATTACTGTGACCTAGACAATCAATACCAGATAGGTGACCTTTGATTAAATCCATATACTTGTGGAGTGAACTAGGAGGAGACTCCAAGACAGAATTTGGTTCCCAACAGTGTCCATGGCCGAAGGGCACACTCAGAAGGTCTCCTCCTCTCTCAGGAACTGGAACACGGATGAGAAGTCTTTCTTTGAGTAGCCCTTTGCACACATCATCCTGTAGATCTGATGGGCCAGACTGCCAAGAAGGATTGGGCTCTTTGTGCTGGTAGCAGAATCTTGTGCCAACCCCAGATCCTAAATCAAATGAGAGGAGAAGAGAACACATTGAGACTGGTGGTAAAGGCTCTTTGGAACTGTGGTTCCTAATGTTTTGGTTTCAAAGAAGGAAAAATGAAATCTGAACAAATAAGATACTTATAAATATTATGGTCCGTTAATATTTTTTTAATAAGTGCTTTCAAATAACTGCAAAAGAGACAGAAACCTTCGTTTCTGAGTGTCTCTTCTATTTTCCCACCTTCCACGATACCTGTTTGTATTGTTCCATGTATTTGAAAAAAAATTTCCCTGTGTAATCTTATCTGGAAATCTATAACACTGACATAAAATTTTTAAAAATTCTTAAAGCATAAAGAGAAATAAAACCACAAAATAGGAAATATAGTTTCAAATATGACTTCATCCAACAAATATCTGAAGTGTGCTGACAACGTGCAGCGGCTGGGATAAAATAATGAACAAGACAGCCACAGCCCACCCAAACTCAGTGTGTTAAGGAGAAAGACAATGACATAAGCACAGAATAACTGGAGAGTAGGAGTACTATCATGGGTTCCAAGGAGGCAGGGTCTGGGGTGCTGGAAAAGGTGAAGAGAAAGAGAGTGAAGCACAGACCTGGAACCAGGTGAAAATATGGAGGTGGCAGGGAGGTGGTGGGCAAGGAAGAATGATCCTGACAGAAGGATCGGCAAATATGAAGGTTTGCTAGAGACAGAACAAGAGGTAGAAGTGAGTTCAGCATGATGAAAGCATGGAGAGGGGGATGGGAAAGAAAATGAGTCTGGTTAAGGCAAGCAAAAGGCAAGGCATCCGGGGGCTTGTCAGACAGGTTGCAGAGATGGACTTTAATCTCAAAGTAACTGAAACTACTACAAAAACTTCATAGGAGAAGTGACACAGTCAGGATTTTACATTTTAGAAAGCACACTCTTGCTTTGGTGTGGGAAATAAACTGCAGACCATCAGGCTGAAAGGCAAGATCAGTTAAGATGTGTTTGTGGTATAACACGAAGAGGGTCAGCTAAGGTACTGCTAGCCGGGGAGAAGGGAACTGGATGAATTCAAGGCATATTCAAGAAGCAGAATGAACAAACATCATGGGGAATGAGGGAGAGTAAGCCACGTACAGACACCTCTTGTCTTACTGTGCTTCACTTTATCATGCTTCACAGATAATGCATGTTTGCTTTTGTATTTTAATAATCAAAGGTTTGTGGTATCGAGCAAATCTATCAGCACCATTTGTCCAACAGCATGTGCCCAGTTCATGTAGCTGTCACATTTTGGTAATTTTCACAATATTTCAAACTTTTTCATTACTAGTACTTCTGTTACGGTGATCTGCGATAATTTTTTTTTTTTTTTTTTTTTTTTTTGAGATGGAGTTTCTCTCTTGTTGCCCAGGCTGGAGTGTAGTGGCATGATCTTGGCTCACTGTAACCTCCACCTCCCAGGTTCAAGCGATTCTCCTGCCTCAGCCTCCTGACCAGCGGGGATTATAGGCATGCGCTATGCACCTAGCTATTTCTTTTTTTCTTTTTTTTGATATTTTTAGAGATAGGGTTTTGTCAGCTTGTCCAGGCTGGTTTTGAACCCCTGACCTCAGGTGATCCACCAGCCTTGGTATCCCAAAGTGCTGGGATTGCAGGCGTGAGCCACCGTGTCCAGCTGATCAGTGATATTTGATGTTACTATTGAAACTGTTTTCGGGCATCACAAAGCACAGATAAGATGGCAAACATAATCGATAAATGTATGCGTGTTCTGACTGCTCTGCTGCTGAATGGCAGGTCTCTTTCACCCCTCAGGCCTCCATATTCCCTGAGACACAAAAGATTGAAATTAGGCCAATTAATAACCCTACAATGGCCTCTAAGAGTTCAAATGAAAGGAGGAGTCAGCTGTCTCACACTTTAAATCAAAAGCTAGAAATGATTAAGCTTGGTGAAGAAGGCATGTAGAAAATCAAGACAGGCTGAAAGGCAGTTCTATTAAACAGTAAGCCAGGTTGTGAATGCAAAGAAAAAGTTCTTGAAGAAAATTCCAAATGCTATTCCAGTGAACACATGAGTGATAAGTGCAACAGCCTTACTGCTGATAGGGAGAAAGTATGAGTGGTCTGGCTAGATCAAATCATCCCCTTAAAACAAAGCTTAACCCAGAGCAAGGCCCTAACTTTCTTCAATTCTATGAAGGCTAAGAGAGGTGAGGAAGCTGCAGAAGATATGTGAAGCTAGCAGTGATTCGTTCATGAGGTTTAAGCAAAGAAGCCATCTCCATAACATAAAAGTGGAAAGTGAAGCAGGAAGTGCTGATGGAGAAACTGCAGGAAGTCATCCAGAAGATCCAGCTATCACTGATGAAAGTGGCCACAATAAACAACAGATTTTCAGTGTAGATAAAACAGCCTGCTGTTGGAAGATGTCATCTAGAAGTTTCACAGCTAAAGAGAAGTCAATGTCTGGTTCCAGAGCTTCAAAGGAAAGGCTAACTCTCCTGTTAAGGGCCAGTGTAGCTGGTGACTTGAAGTTGAAACCAATGCTCATTTAACATTCCAAAAATCCTAGGGCCCTTAAGCATTATGCTGAATCTACTCTGCCTGTGCTCTACAAATGGACAGCAAAGTCTCGAAGAAAGCACATCCGTTTATGGCATGGCTTACTGAATATTTTAAGCCCACTGTTGAGACATCTGGTCAGAAGATTCCTTTCAAAATTTGAGTGCTCACTTGACAGTACAAGTGGTCACCCAAGAGCTCTGATGGGGATGTTCAAGGAGATTCATGTTGTTTTCATGTCTATGAACACAACATCCATTCTGTAGCCCATGGATCAAAGAGTCATTTTTCAACTCTTATGTGAGAAATACATTTCATAAGGCAATACCTACCGTATATAGTGATTCCTCTCACAGATCTGGGCAGAGTAAACTGAAAACCTTATGAAAAGAATTACCATTCTAGATGCCATAAGAATATTTGTGATTCATGGGAGGAGGTCAAAATAACAGTAACAGGAGTTTGGAAGAAGCTGATTCCAGCCCTCAGGGATAACTTTGAGGCTTTTAAGACTTCACTGCAGGAAGTCACTGCAGATGTGGTGAAAACAGCAGAAGAACTAGAATTAGAAGTGGAGCCTGAAGATGGGGCTTGCTACAATCTTGCGCTAAAACTTGAAGGGATGAGGAGTTGCTTCTTATGGATGAGCAAAGAAAGTAGTTTCTTGAGATGGATCTACTGCTGGTGGAATGGCAACAAAGGATTTAGAAAATTACACAAACTTAGTAAAGTAGCAGCAGAGTTTGAGAAGATTACCTCCAATTTTGAAAGAAGTTCTGTGAGTAAAATGCTATCAAATAGCATCACATGATACAAAGAAACATTCTGTGAAAGGATGAGTCAACTGACTCATTACTCTCTTATTTTAAGAAACTGTCATAGCCACTCAACCTTTAGCAATCACCACCCTAGTCAGTCCACAGTCATCAACCTCAAGGCAAGACCCTCCCAGCAAAAAATACTTTTTGACTCACCGAAGGCTCAGATAATTGTTAGCATTTTTAGCAATTAAGTGTGTAGTAGCGTTACCTCTAAACAGTACGTGTACCTTTTAAAATTAAGGTACACGTACTGTTTAGACGTAACGCTACTGCATACTTAATAGACTACAGCACAGTATAAACATAACTTTTATATGTACTGGGAAACCAAAAAATGTGCGTGACTTGCTTTGTTGTGGTCTGGAACTGAACCCACAATATCTCCAAGATGCTTGTGTGGTATCTAGGTATATGTATTCTTGCCTTTTTTTTTTTTTTTTTTTTTTTTTTTTGGAGATAGTTTTGCTCTTGTTGCCCAAGCTGAAGTGCAATGGCGCAATCTATGCTCACTGCAACCTCTGCCTCCCAGGTTCAAGCGAGTCTCCTGCTTCAGCCTCCTGAGCAGCTGGGATTACAGGCACACGCCACCACGCCCGGCTAACTTTTTGTATTTTTAGTAAAAACAGAGTTTTACCATGTTAGCCGGGCTAGTCTCTAACTCTTGACCTCAGGTGATCTGCCTGCTTCAGCTGCCCAAAATGGTGGGATTATAGGCGTGAGCCACCAAGCCCGGCTGTATTCTTACTTTAAGGAAAAAAAAAAATAGAAAGAAAACCTCAACTGGGGAAAAACAAGCACTGCAGAAATCTGAAAGTCAGCTGGTCTAAAAATTATTTTCTACAGTTGACAGCACAGACTTTCTAAAGTTGAGACCTCAAATGATAGAAGGATGACAGTTTGCTTTTCAAATGACTTAACTAATTTTTACATATAAGTTCATATATATTAAAGCAGGAAGATATATTTAGAAATATATAATCAATGGGAAAATTCTCTCTTGTGATGTATATACGCACTGCCAATGTATTATTAACAATGAGAAAATTCTCACTGCTCTCATTCTAAGAAGTTGGTAAATTAACATAAATGTATGATGAACAAAATGTTACCAGCTCATATAAACAAACTCAAGCACACACACACATGATCTGCCCCATTTTTCTCATCCAAAAGGCCAGGAATAAAAATGAACAAGATAAAGATTTTCATCTAAGCTAAATTTTTACTCATTTTTAGTGAGAGTGAATATTCTAGTAATCATGCCTCTTAGGTGAGACATATGCTTTGTTAAGAGAAAGAGAAGGAAAGTGTTATTAGACTATGAAACATTTTTCCTTCTCTCTTAGTGTCTCCATTTACCGCACCTTAGCCATGAGTGTTGTTCCAAATCCACCCTGATAGTTATTAGCTGAGGGAACGCCATCCATCACTCCAGGCACAGGATTGTAAGCGTCACTCGACCAGCACCGTCCTGAGCTCATATTTAGGATTTTGGCCAGCAGTTTTGGGTCAAGCCCTAACCTGTTAAAGGTCAAAGAAAAGAAGTGTCAAGTGTCAAAATGTACAAATCGTGCATGACTTATTTACATATGAGGATGTTCCATCTTCTCTCTCCATTTATTATGTCTTCTAAAATCTAAGCACATTGATGTGAGAGTGAAGAATCCAATTTTGAATTATAGGGTACTAAACATGAATGATTAAACAATAACATTTTTGAGTCAGGACCATTTTGCATTTGAGAAAACCTTCTATGTTATCCTATTATTTTAAAAAAATACATATAATTGCATAAAAGCATTGTTGGTTTACCACACTCAGGGTTTCCTAGTCTTTGGACATCACTACATTTATGTGTCACATAAGAACCTTAAACTAATATGATAATTTAAATTCTACATTCTTCACCCACAAATATTTCAGAGAGAAATATTGACAGATAAATGATGCATCATGGGAGTCTATGTGAGTCTATTTATATGTATGTTTATTCCTTTAGTTTTTATGAGAATAAATGCAAGAGATGAGCCAGGAGCTGTAAAGGAGCTTAAGAAAAGTTGTTATAAAAGAAGACTTTTTTGCTGTAAACTTTTCCTTATTTATTAAATCTTCATTAGACAATCCTGCTTATGAAGCAAGTCTGCACAGAGTTGTGACATATGCTATCTATTCAGAGACATGCATTATAGTTCTGGGTCAACTGCTGATAAGGTTACTGATCCTGATAAAACAAAGCTTGCCCAAGCGGAAACATCATTTGTTCTATCACTAGGCTGATGGCATATAAACGGCTGTTCAATGTGGACCCTAGAAAAAATAGAATCAAAATGCTCCATTACTTGGATTCTAAAGATATAATGCAGTTTGGGAAGCACAATTTTGCTAAGTATCACCAAATCAAGTTTCAAATAAAACTTTATACCTAGCAATTTATTTGGTTTCTTTCAAAACAGCCATTTTGAAACAACTGTCATAAAAGCTTTCTGCTTTTTCTTTCTGCTTTCTCTTTGTAATTTTTTCTTAAAAAATTAAGAAGAGACACTTATGTAAATGTTAAATTGCGCCTTTTGGCATGCTTAGATTCTTGTTTACTTTGTGTGTCCACAATACATGTCTGTTTATTTCAAAATCTAAATATCATGGCCAATAAAACATTTTTTTCAGATGCTGGAGCAGGGGGCTGGGTCTAACAGCCAAAAATATGTATGGAATTACAATGTAATACAACTGTTATGTAAGCAGGCTTTCAAGGGGTAGCTCTGGTTCCCAGACTGCCATGTGGCATATCATGTGTCTGCATTCATATGGTGGCCTATGTTCTAGTGATGGGTTTTATTAAGGATTCTAACATATATAGAAATTCAGTCTAAATTGGCTATCATTCCTTCTGTTAAACTGTAGATTCCCAGAGAGAAACCCAATTGTTTCATTCATTCATTTTATAAAGATCCAAGTTCATTGCATGTGTCCTCTGATAGTGATGCTTGCTTTCTCCTTTTAAATAAAATTTAGGCTAACGGTATGCTTTTGTAGTATATGACTTAGGGTTTAGGCTAACGGTATGCTTTTGTAGTATATGACTTAGGAAAAGATAAAGCCAGTGTGCTTAGGGAATAATTGTGAAAAGTAAATCACAAACTAACAATTAGTTAATTTGCTATGACTGCAAAGCAGAAATGTTCAAGAATGCATATGTCTAATATGCTCTATAAGGAGAAAATACTTTCAAAGACTCCAAAATGTCACTTTCTCCCTCCATCTAAATATGATTTCAGGGCTTCCTAATTTAGATCTTCTTTTAAGATGGTTCATCACATTTAAAGCAGCAGAGTTTCTCCCTTCTTTCTAATCTTCCAGGTTACACTCAGTAGTAGTAGCTCACAAGAGTTTTTACTGCTAAGGAAATTCACTCTCTTATATAATATTCAACAAAATGGTGAGCAAAGCTAATTATCCTAACTTTGTAAAACTCTACATTTTTCTTGAATGTTCAAGGAAAAATACTGGCACTGATGGATGGAAACCCTTTTTGGTGAACACATTACTATTTAGAAGCATCCTGAGGGACACACACAAAAAGTCAGGTGGCAGTTGTTTCATTCCCACTTCAAATCTGATGCTTCTCCCCCCGCCAACCCCCACCCCACCCTGCCATGCTGATTCCCTTCAGGAAACGGTTACTCTTCCCTCTCCACTTCCCTCCCCTTGCCCCCACCCGCAGCAAAGTGTATCATTAAAAAGAGCAAGTTAGAAGTGTTTTGCATTTCTTCTTTCTGAGGATTCTTTCTCTGGCACATACATAACTGACAGTTAAAATTAGACATGATATTAAAATCAGTTACTGAAGTCCTCTGTTTTCCACTGTGCCCATGACTTGTAATGGTCTGAAACCAGCTAGAATACACAGTAATTGTCATTCAGAGTCTATCCTAGAACGTCATGCTTCACTGGAGAAGACTGAGTTTCCATTCGAAATCAACAAATTAATCCAAGACAGGTATCTGAAAGGGCAAGTTTAATAGGAAGCAGCTACTGGGCTCTCAACCATGATAAAATGTTATTGCTGTTTCCCTGTAAATTGGCTGGGAACATATGATACTTTCTGCATAAGAGCCCCATTGCTGTTCAGAAGATATACAGCTCAAGCCATCAAAAGAATGACAGTCTGTCAGTCCCCATAATAACTTGCCAGTGGATGTGGTTCGAGAGTGCATGCGTGCATGCATGTGGCTTTACAATTGCTGGAATGTTCTCTGATATAAACAGAATGAATTCATTGCTCTGACTGCATATATAATGCATTTCAAATAAACATCACTGTGTCACATCTACTCACCTCTAAAACATAAGAATTTTAAATGAGGTTTTGGAAGAAGTAAAAATGATGCATAAACTATAAATTTAAAAAATTAAACATCTGCTTTCATTGTAACCCAGACTTTATGGGCCAAAAAAGTTTGTTTACTTTATATTCTCTGTGAGTAATCTATACTGTCTGGTTTTATGTAAGAACAAAACAAATTATGTCACTAAACTGGAATGTTCGTATCACAGGAACAGATCTAGAAATGAAACATCTAAGACCATGTCAATTGTAATTAATCATTCCCTTATACATCAATGTTTACTCAGATCTGCTATATGCAACTGCTACGCCTGCAGCCAAGGAAACAGTAAGAAGGAGGAAGCTAAGAGGAGTGTGTGTGCCTGTTTGCCAGGAGGGCTGAGTTAAGACCCACCTGGATAACTTTTTACCTAAGGGAAGAGAAGTGCCATATCTTATGCCCTCACTCACTTGCCTACCTCCTCCCTCCTCTCCTCATTTATCTGACAAATCTTCTTTGGGTGCCTAATACCTGCCAGGTATGTTCTTAAGATATGGCAATGAGTAAACAAACCATTCCCCTTCATAGAGCTTACGTTCTAGATAAGAAGACAGGTAATAAACAGACAAAAAAAAAATGTAATGCCAGCTAGTGGGACATGTTATGAAAAAATACAATTCAAGTAAAATACAATTAAATTTCAAATAATAACCACCTTACCACAACCACAAATACCATTACCACATGCTGACACCTACTATGTGCCAGAAACTATTTAAAAAGTTTTACGTGGATTAACTCACTTAATCTTTACAATAATCCAGTGGATACATATAATTATTTTTGTCACTTTATAAATGCGAAAAGTTTAAGTCTGTAGGACAGCTTGGATGCAGACCTACCTGTACGCCCAAACAAATGCCATCATATTGGCTAGCAGTTGACTATGAAGTAGGTGGTGAATGTAACAGTCAATGAGTCAATACAGTGGCATTTTATCAGCTTATTAAGAAATTTTTAAGTTAGATAGTGAATGATTTAGACTGACATAGTCTTAGACGTTTCATTTCCAGATCTTTTCCTGTGATACATCCCAGTTTAGTGACATAATTTATTTTGTTCTTATGTAAAACCAGACAGTATAGATACATACAAATAACAAACTTTTTTGGCCATTTATAAATTACAAACCTTTGCCATCTGTTATATTAGGGTGCACGATTAAGGCTCCAGTCATCACATAAATGCAAAAGCAACATCTTCTAAGCGTAATATGCAAGAAACTATTAATAAAACTACACTGGAGGAAAAGTTCTCATCTTGAACAGTTTTCCACAAGTTCAGCTGCTTTAAGCTGCTCTTGACAGAACACAAGACAGTGGCTGCTGGAGGAGCCTGGGCCTGGTTGGTAATGCAAATCACTTGTTATACCACCAATATTTTTTTTAAAAACTCAATTTCTAATGGAGCTAGTAATTTAAAACAAAACATTATCAATGTCGTTTCGATGCACAGGAACAAAACCTCTCTAATCTAAGTAGGGTACTTTCAGGGCCATAAAACTATGCTTCTAATGCCTAAGTAGGAATCCAATTCGAAAGCAAAAAGGTCTAATAAGAATCTCAAAATATACTGTATACCATATTTTTTACCCCCCTTTTTTTTAAACAACATTTAAAAATTTCGCTAACAGCCATAAAGACTCACTGTAAAAGAGCATAGGGTCAATAAGAATTTTAAACTGTAATGTTTTATTCTTCAATTTTTTTAAAAAAGAACAGTGTTCCAGAAAAACCACTGACTTAGAATAAAATTAATCAGAAATGATCACTTCATAGGAATGGGTGACTCAATTTGTAAATGTTGACATTAATACTCTGAAAAAATGTCACTTCAGAGTGAATGGAATATAAATGTGGCTAACCCATTTTGATGCTATACTACTTCATGGGAATTTACTACTTGGGAATTTATGCTTGCTGATGCCAATTTTCTCTTTCACCTTGCAAAGCTCAATAAATCGTGGCCGCTCTCTATACTCTATTAGAGAACAATCCTGTCACTTTAAACCATGTCTGTAAACCATGGAGAAAAGACAATAGCAGAAGCATTCATTTTTAGGGCTTTTAAACTACTGAGAATCTTTGTAAGATAAAGTGATAAAATCCTCATGTTATAAAAAATAAGCAATTCATTGGTATAATCTGAAACACTAGAAACTTATGAATTATTTTTAATGGTTAAGTCCAACTAGTGAGTTTCTGCCTTGGGTTCAGACTTTTAAAATATATTTTATATTTATCAGTATATATGTAGAGTTTTAGAAAACTGAAACATTTAAAAATTTTGCATTTCTAAACATCATTTTTGTCATAGTTGATCAAAGCCAAAAATAAGGGAAACTCCATTGACTGCTTCTGTTTTCTTATGTCTCTATTTGGAATTTTATCATTTTGCACTTTCTCCTTAAAAACAAACCCACTTCAAGTAGCCAATGGTTTTCAGCTCATTGTACACCTTGTATTCAACTGATTTACCTACTATTCTTCACTAGCTGGTGTTTGGAGTAGAACTTCCACAAGCACTTACCCTATATAAAACTTCTTTTTAGAAGGTCAGATGATCATCTTATAATAAGAGTTTGACAGGAAAATTATTCAAGAAATGCCAGATGATGCATTCACTATTACTAAGGAATATCCTAGTCCAGTAATTCTCAATGTTAGAAATAGAGTCAATGGGCAAAGAGGGGAAGTTTTAGTACAGTCTAACCTAGGTTCATCCAGCCTTTTACTTTATATAATATATTCATTTATATCTAGAAAAATGAAAATAAAATTCTAAATTATATGCATACCAATCCTGATGTCAACACCAATTAACTGTATATGCAATTTTTGTTCCAGGAAACAAGTTACTAGTAACCAGTTTTTCAATATGATAAGTGACCCATATCCTAAAACTGGCCACAATACAAACATAACACTCTGACGAGGTCCCTATATACTACCACCTTTGGCTCTGTAAGACATGCCTTACCATCTTATGGACATCCAATTTTAAAATGTAAATGGTACATGATATTGATAAACCAATTAGTACTGATGCAAAGCAAATTCCTCTTTTATCTCAATTACAGCATGACAACTTAATAGGTCAAGATAGTTTAACATCTGAGACAAGGGCAATTCAATAAAACAACAGCATCTTGATATGGTAATTAAGAGGAAATGTGAATACATTACTGTGTTTTCAAAAATATCTCAAGTACATTGGCTCTTTTTATTTTATCAAAAGCTGTGGTATGAAACACTATTCTGTTTTGTGACATATTTGGTAAGCAGTTTTGGGGAATGTGATGAAAACAACTGAGGAAAGAATCTTGCTCATTAAGCATTTTCTAAAGTAAGAAATGTATATTTTCATGAAATACAAAACATTCAAAAATTAATTAGGTGATTGATCATAGGTAGCATTACTAACCCCAAAGATTAAAGGCTAAAATTAAGACATTAACCTTAAGCATTTAAAAGATGATCTTCCACAGGAAAAACAGAGTTCCTGAATCACTTTAAGCAAAGTATGAATGCCATTTTAATAGAAAGAGACATACTAAGGCAAAGTAACTGAACCACAGGCAAAATAAAATGAAAGAGTTATGCATATAAATTGCTGCTTTATGAATGCTATCCAGTTTTTAGCCTGAGAATGAACCACCAAGAACACTTTTAGGGCAGATTTCGGGGACTATTTTTTAAAGATATATAAAACTAGTCACCTGGTAGCATACCACTTGAATTCACTACACACTAAAACCATGTCTTACACAAATTTGTCCTGACATTGCCAGAGTATGTTTAAATTTTATAGTAAAAATGTTTCTTGCATTTCAACATAATAGAAGAAATGGGGCTCCCATATAAAAACGATAATATAACTTCAAATGCACAGGCAATACATTTTATGGCTATGGCAAAGAGTATTCATGCTCTCCTGGGTCCTATTGCTCGTCCAATAAGCAAAGTCTATTAAAGTTCAATAATGAAGTACTTTCAAAATGTTCTTGGATCAACTCATTTATCTCTCATGAACATCATCTTTTTTTTTACATCAGAAAATCAAATAGGAAAGCCTATAAAAATGTACTATTCAACAAACCTGATTCCAAGATTCATAGCTTCAGCAGTTCCAATCATACTAATAGCTAACAGCATGTTGTTGCAGATCTTTGCAGCCTGAAAATAAATTGAGTACATATTAAATATCTTTATTTCCAAGCTGTAACTCACAGGAGGTTTTTCCTTGCCCAATTCCAGGGGATACTTTCTAAAAGAAGTAACGTTCAACTGTTGATTCTCTCGAGTGGGGAAGAGAACGTGGTACAGCATGGCTCTCTCTCAACCTCACAAGCTATCCCAGAGCAGACTTGTGGGTCTCTCCCACTAGGTAATAAATTTGCATATGTGGAGATTTATTTTCCAGGTAACTACTATGGGCTCAGCACTATAGCGCGTAACTGCTCTTTAAGGGATGGAACTTACTATCTAATTGGGAAATGGGAGTAATATGCTATATTAAAAGGCAACAAAAACAATTAAGTGGTGAATTGTAAGGTAGAGGCTATAAGACAAGAGACCGGAGGAGTTCTTCAGAGCAACAAGATCATTGAAGGCAGGAACAGAGAGGAAGTGGAACCTGAAATCATCCCTTAGGAAGCCAAGGCAGGGTTTAAACAGGCAAGAAAGGGAAAGAAGGAGATCGGAGGGGAAGGATAAATAAATGAGATTAAATATGTAAGAACATGATGTCGTTGGGGAACAGTAAGAAAATTAATATGTCTATGTTTTACAGAATGGTGAGAAATTTAATAGTTAAGACTGGGGCAAGAACATGTCAGCTATGCAAGCTAGGGTGGAGAGTTAAAATTTGACATGGTAGGAAATAGGGATCTATTTCAGAATGGGGAAGCACTATGATGACAAAAGCATCTTGATGGAGTTGTCTGGGTTATGGCATTGGACAGAGTGGTAATTTGGCATTCAGAGACCTACTAGGCCCCATGAGCACTAAACTAGGTGTGAGACACTGAAATAAAGGCTTGGACCAGGTCTTGTGTTGAATGGAAATGAAGGTCACTTGAATGAATACAGCTTGGAGACTGACTGGACAAGAGTATGGAGACAATAAATATGTCTAAGATAATCCCAAATCGAGAGTGAGATAAATGTTTTTATCCTAGTCAACTAGGATAAAAACATTAAGAGGAAGAGTGAGTGTGTGTGTTTGTTGGGAGGGGGAGGGAGACAACTAGCTTGATTTCGCTGTTCAGTATTGTTTAATCATCTCTGTCAATGATCTAATATTTCTAAGTGAAAGTTACTTGCTTTTCAAGAAAAAGTTTGAAGTCCATGGGTTATTGCTACCTGACTGTACTACAAATAGAGCTATGGCAAATACAGCTGACCCTTGAATGATGAGGGGGTTAGGGAAACCAACCCCTGGTGCAGTCAAATACTCAGGTATAACTTTTGACTCTCCATAAGCTTGGCGAATTTGACTGGAAGCCTCACCAATAACATAAACAGTTGATTAACACATATTTTATATACGTATTATATATTGTGTCTTTATGGTAAAGTAAGCTAGAAAAAAGAAAATATTAAGAGAATCATTAAGGAAGAGAAAATATATTTATTATTCACTAAGCAGGAGTGGATCATCATAAAGGTCTTCAATCCCATCATCTTCATAATGAGTAGGCTGAGGAGGAGGAGGAAGAAGAGGAGGGGTTGCTCTTTGCTGTCTCAGGGGTGACAGAGGCAAGAGAGGTGGAGGTGGTAGAAGGGGAGGCAAGAGAGGCAGGTACACTTCGGATAACTTTATTGAAATATAATTTCTATCTGACTTTTTTGCTCTCTGATTTCACTAAAAATGATTCTGTATGGTACTAGTCTGTCTTCCACTGTTGCTTTATTTTCAGTGTCTGTATCATAGAAGGGTCCATGTTGTAAAAGAAGTTCAAAGTAGTTTTGAATAATCAGAACTGTTCTGCCAGACTGTAATGTCTATTTGTTTGCTGGCACTGCTTTTTATACATCCTTCTTATCATCCTTATCATCTGGCACTGTTCAGAAGCACTCATTTCCATCAAGTCTCTTCTGTTAATTACTCTGGTGTGGTGTCTATTAGCTCTTGAATTTCTCCAAGAGCCATATCTTGAATGCTTTCATACACTCCCCACCTTTTTTGCCATATGCACAATCTCTCCAGTGATTTTCCTGATTGGCCCTGCCATAAATCCTGTGAAGTCATGCACAACATCTGTACAGTTTTTTCCATCAGGAATTTACTGTTGAGGCTTGATAGCTTTCGAGGTGTTTTCTACAATAACAATGGCATCTTCAATGGTGTAATCCCTCCAGATTTTCACGATCTTCTTTCTATCAGGGTTTTCTTCCATAGTGACAATCCTTCCCATAGAGTACCATGTGTAATGAGCCTTAAAGATCCTCATGATCCCCTAATCTAGAGGCTGAATTAGAGGCATTGTGTTTAGAAACAAGTTGGCCCCTTGGATGCCTTCAGTGTTGAACTCATGCTATTCTGGGTGGCCAGGGTTATTGTCCAATATCAAAATAACTTTAAAAGTCAGTCCCTTACTGGCAAGGTACTTCCTAACCGCCATCGAGGGAAACAGTCCAGAATCAGGGTTCTCATTGTCCAGGCCTGCTTGCTATACGACCAAAAGAGAGGCAGCTGGTATTTATCTCTTCACTTAAAGCCTCAGGAATTAGCAACTTTACCGATAAGGGCAGTCCTGATTATCAACCCAACTGCATTTGTACAAAACAGTAGAGTTAGCTTATCCTTTCCTGCCTTAAATCCTGGTGCTTGCTTCTCTTCCTTACTAATAAATGTCCTTTGAACATCCTTTTTTTCCCTATAATAGGGCACCTTTTTTTTTTCTATAAGTTCATAATGCATTAAAAACTTATTCAGGCAGACAGCCTTTCTCTTTAATGATTTTTCTTTTTCTTTTTTTTAAGATGGCATCATGCTCTGTTGCCCAGGCTGGAGTGCAGTGGCGTGATCTCAGCTCGCTGCAACCTTTGCCTCTCAGGTTCAAGCAATTCTTATGCCTCAGCCTCCCAAGTAGCTTGGATTACAGGCATGTGCCACCACGCCAAGCCCGGCTAGTATTTTTAGTAGAGATGGGGTTTCTCCATGTTGGTCAGGCTGGTCTCAAACACCTGAACTCAGGTGATCCATCCCACCTCAGCCTCCCAAAGTACTGGGATTATAGGCATGAGCCATCGTGCCCGGTGCTCTTCAATGATTTTTCTTAATCAGCCTGGGAACTGTCTGCTGTCTCTTGGTCAGCAGAAGCTACTTCTATTATCTTGACATTTTTTAAGCAAACCTCTTCCTAAAATTATCAAACCATCCTTTGCTGGCATTAAATTCTCCAGCTTTAGATCCTTCACTTTCTTTTTGCTTTAAGTTGTCATATAATGACTTCACTTTTTCTTGAATCATATTATATATAGGCATGTCTTTCTATAGCAATCCTGCACCTACATAAAAGCTGCATTTTCACTGTGAGATAAAAAGATGCTGTGCAAAAAGTACAAGCCTGCTGGAGTAGCTGCAATGATTGGTTCATGAATATTCTTTTCTTTTTTTACAATGGTCCTTCCATTGGATTTGTTTATCTTGAAGGGGAAATGCAGCTGCAGACCTCAATCCATGGTACATATCAAGCAATTCAACTTTTTCTTGTAATGTTGTAACTTTTCTGAGCTTCCTGGGAGTACTTCCAACATTGCTAGGGGCACCCTGTATGGGTCCCATGGTGTCATTCAAGGTTTATGATATTGCACTAAACATGGAAAATACAAGAGAATCGCAAGAGATCAATTTTTACTATGATACAACATTTACTGAAGAGATGAACCACTCACACAAAGATTAGTGTCACATGACATTTTATGCCAATATTTGTAACACTTGAGTTCACTGCAATAGCAACAGGAGGTGGCCACAAAATTATTACAGTAGTACAGTATTACTATAGTTAATTTTATGCAGTTATGATTTATTTTTTATTTTCTTGAGATGGAGTCCTGCTCTTGTCGCAAGGCTGGAGTGCAGTGGTGCGATCTTACCCCACTGCAACCTCTGCCTCCCGGGTTCACGTGATTCTCCTGCCTCAGCCTCCCTAGTAACTGGGACTACAGAGCACACCACCACACCTGGCTAATTTTTTGTATTTTAGTAGAGACAGGGTTTTACCATGTTGGCCACAATGGTCTCGATCTCCTGACCTCGTGATCTGCCCAACTCAGCCTCCCAAAGTCCTTGGATTAAAGGCATGAGCCACCATGCCAGCCTACAGTTATAATTTAATACATCTTTACATTTGTTTACATTTCTCTCAACTGTGAATGGTCCCATGTATGGTCTATAAATGTTTGTAAGTTTTGATAAATTTTAACTCTTTATAACAGATTTGTGCATATTTATAGACTAGTATCTACCTACACATATTTTATGCATTCATGACATATCTAACTTTTTCTTAATTGTTTTTCTTTATATTTCTAGGCCATGCGGTTCATCTGTTTTTTCAAACTGTCACAAATCTTCAAAAGAATTTTGAAGATATCTATGGAAAAAAATACATGTATAAGTGGACCCATGGAGTTCAAATCTGTGTTGTTCAAGGGTCAACTGTAATTACAAAATTAGATGGAGGAAAACAGCAACTCAGAAATAAGCCCTTCACATAAAAGCAGTTTTAAGGATGATTTCAGTAGTTGCTTGGATGACATGTTAAGATCCTAACAATGAATTTTTTTTTTCCTTTCTTCTTTTTTAAAAATAGATTCTTGCTCTGTCACCCAGGCTGACTGCAGTGATGTTATCATGGTGCACTGCAATGTCTATTCCCCACCTCTGGGCTCAGGTGATTCCCCCCACCTCAGCCTCCTAAGTAACTGAGACTACAGGTATATGTCACCACACTCGACTAATGTTTTGTTTTTTGTAGAGATGGGGTCTTACTATGTTGCCCTGGCTGGTGTCAAACTCCTGGGCTCAAGCGATCCTCCTGCCTCAGCCTCCCAAAGTGTTGAGATTACAGGCATGAGCCACGATGTCTGGCCAAAATAAAACTTTTAATATCTTTTTAAATAAGTAAATTGGCTGATGACTGCTTAAGCCCACCAGGAATGATGCAAAACTAATTTATTCCAAATACATTTTTAAAAATTTGAACGAAGAATCCAGAGATTGAAGAGAGAATTAGAATGTGGTCAGGAAAGAGAAAGGAACATTAGTCAATTTTGCATCATCAAGTCAAGGTCATTAATGTAAAAATCTTACCTGCCCAGTACCAACAGCTCCACAATACACCACATTGGAGCCCATGCACCCCAGCAACTCTTGGGCAGCAGCAAATTCGTCTTCAACTCCTCCCACCATAAATGTGAGGTTCCCAGATCGTGCAGCTCCTACACCTGAATCATTTGGGGGTAAAGAGATAGAAGCAAAAGAATACATTTCTTAAAATTTTTAGGTAGATAATAAAATTAGAGAAACCAACTAAAAACATCCTGTTTCCAAACTGTATTTATGCCATACATGTGTAAGATACTCTAAATCTCTACAGAAATACTCAGTAATCAAGTATCACCAGGTTAATCACAAACCAAAAGAGACATACAGATTCAGTCATACTCTCGATCTCAACTTACCTTAGTCATTTTGGCACAACATTGGCATAATAGATAAGGGAACTTAAAATGTAAAATTTATTATTCCCATGCATCCATTATTCTCCTAAGAAACTATTAAGTTACGGAAAGTATACAAAAGGAGGTTTACCTGGGCCCTGATCAGCAAAGGAGCAGCCAGAGAGAGGTCTGCTGCCCATGTTTGGATTTGGGGTTCTTGCTCACTCACTCACTCTCTAAATACTGTCTATAAAGAGATCTACAAAGAGGGAGACCTGGCTGGGTTTGTTCCATAAACAAGTAGGCATTTCAGAAGGTAAGATTCTTTTTTTAAGGCAAGGAAAACTGTTGCTTATTTTGACTGATTATTCTCGTGCACTTTTCAAGATTATTTGATTTTTCTTTTTCTTCCTGCTATTTATCTTTTGGGCAATTTATTTTTAGTGATATGAGCAGAAAGAAGAAATAAACTTTAACACTGGCTTCACTACTACACCTTAGTAGTTTTTAACAAAGGCTTAATGCATGTTCATTCATTAGAATGACTAGAGAAACAACTTTTAATTTAGCACAGAAAACATGATCTAGACTTGTCCTGAAAGGGATAGGAAGAAGCTTCATTCATCTGAATTTTTTTTTTTTTTTTTTGGAGACGCAGTCTCGCTCTGCTGCCCAGGCCAGAGTGCACTGGCACAATCTTGGCTCACTACAATCTCCACCTCCCGGGTTCAAGTGATTCTCCTGCCTCAGTCTGCCTAGTAGCTGGGATTACAAGTATCTGTCACCATGCCTAGCTAATTTTTGTATATTTAGTAGAGACAGGGTTTCACCATGTTGGCAAAGCTGGTCTCTAACTCCTGATCTCAGGTGATCTGCCTGCCTTGGCCTCTCAAAGTGCTGGGATTACAGGTATGAGCCACCATGCCCAGACCATTCATTTAAATTTTTATTAACTATAAAATAAAACCAAGAGTATTTTAATAGTCTTGGTTTTAATATTAATTAAAAGTATTAATAACTTCTTCATAGATGGGTTGTGAATATGTAAACATATGCTGTAAAATAAAAATGCTATTTATTTACTTTTTGAGACAGGGCCTTGCTCTGTCACCCTGGCTGGAGTGCCGTGATCATAGGTCACTGTAGCCTGTTTTTAATATTCAAATAAATCTCGATTCATAATTTTCAAATTAGGCTTTCTTTTTCATAACTTCCTAGGAAAGTATGTGGAACTCATTTTATAGTACAGTAAGAACAAAGAAACTATAACTGTCTGTAGTATGTATCAAATCTGGCAATTAGAACAGACAGCTGCAAGTAATGTCCTGCTTTTGAATTTAATGTATTCACCGAAATACAGTATTTATCTGTTTTTTAAAAGCCCAAGTAAAGAGATAACTATTTCATTCAAACTGTGAATATTTTGCTATTGTCAAATCAAACAGCTTTCCATTTTACAGTTTATATTATTCATAACCAATTATTAAAACCAAAGACTTAGTCAGCATTATGCTAGTCAAATAATCTTGGAAGAGTGCCCACATGTTATGAAAACCTGAGATGCTCACATATATGGTTAAATTGCATTATTTTGCAGTATCTTGATTTTGAAATGGATTATATACAAAAACCCAATTTATAAAAAATGCTTTCAATTAATCTATGTCATTCGAACATTCTTATAACATTAACATTTAAGTGACTGTTGTTTTGTTAGTTTCCAATTTACTTTGTCAAGATGGTAAACCATTACTGTTTTAAAATTATTTTGCTCAATTTCTATAGCCATTTTTATTCAAACCATGTAACTACCATTCCTCATAATCCTGTTGGTCTCACCTAGAGAAATTAAGTAGATGATTTAAGTTAAAGCTTACAAACAAATCCAGCACTAGCCATCGTAGATCAATAGCTTTGCTTTGTATTTAGATTAGAGGCCACTGAATAGCTTCAGAGGGTCAGTTATTTTAAAAACAAAAAAATTAAATGCTGACAACGGTTATCAGCTGGTTAGTCTTTTGACAGGTGTACTTTCTCACTTGTACAAATACATATTTTAAAAAGCAGAAATAAGTTGCTTAAGCAAGAGAAGACCACAAAAGAAAGAATAATTTATCTTTTAATTCAAATGATTTTTATCTTTGAATTAAAAGATAAATTAGTTCTACTCCTTCCTCATATTGATGTCGTATCATAATTATTTCTGACTTTATCATAACCTACATCCCAAAGTAAGGGTCTGACTAAAATCGGTAATGCTAAAGTTCTGGCATTCCTTGGAACCAAATCTTACCTTCTCATACATATTCCTTAATCATACAACACTATCAAGCCTAGTCCCACTGCAAAGGCAGAATTAAGACCTAAATTAGCTAGGCATGGTGGCTCACATCTGTAATCTCAGCACTTTGGGAGGCCAAGGAAGGTGGACTGCTTGAGCCCAGGAGTTTGAGACCAGCCTGGGCAACAAACATGGTGAAATCCCATCTCTACAAAAAATACAAAAATTAGCTGGGCATGGTGGCATGCACCTGTAGTCCCAGCTACTCAGGAGGCTGAGGTGGAAGGACTGCTTGAACCCAGAAGGAGGAGGTTGCAGTGAGCCGAGATCATGCCACTGCACTCAGGTTTTATGAAAACCCGATATGCTCACACATACTGTTAAATTACATTATTTCACAATATATTCACTTTGACATGGATTATATACAAAAACCCAATTTATAAAAAATGCTTTCAATTAGTTAATCTTTGTCATTCAAACATTCTTATTAACATTTAAGTGTTGTTTTATTTCTAATTTATCAAGACGGTAAACCACTAATGTTTTACAATTATTTTGCTCAATTTAGATTTGTATTTAGTGTCAATTTGGTATTTGGTCTCAATTTTTTTTGTATTTAGATTACAGGCTGCTAAACAGCTTCAGAGTCATTTATTAAAAAAAAAAATTAATGCTGACAATGGTTCTCAGCTGGTTAGTCTTTTAGACAACAAAGCGAGACCCTGTCTCAAAACAAAAACCGAAATTATCCCAAAATAAACATAACCATTTTGAACTTAGGAAAGAATATCTAGAAAGCTGGGACTCTAAAGCTGTGTAAGACGTCTTATGGATTTCAGAAGACACTGTATAGATTTTTATGTGTACCAAAAATAAAGAAGAAATGTATTACAATGACATGCCATTTTAATTCAAATCCATTTTCTAAAATATAAAAATACAAAAATACAGAATGTATAATCGGGTAGCTGCTAGAATACTGGAAGAAATATTTATTTTACTATATATTTTAGTAATTATATATACAAAACTAAAATCCACCCTGTGCTTAATTCTATTATAACATTTATCAAAGCTTATTAAAATCCTGGATTTTCTTGTCTGAGTCCTCCATTATAAACTCCTATAAAGTGAGCACTGGGGTCGTGGTTTGCCAGCATCCCCATTATCTATTACAGTGCATGATATATTCAACAAATGGGTGGTTGATAATTAGTAAGCATCATAGAAAGGGTAAAGGATCTGGAAACGTTATAGTTTGTTTTAGGGATGTGCCACTTGCTGGCTGTGTGACAAATTATTTAACTTTTGAGTCTTGGTGTATAAATGGGAACAGTATTAATAACTTCTTCATAGACTGGCTGTGAACATGTAAACATTATGCTGTAAAATAAAAATGCTATTTATTTATTTTTTTGAGACATGCCCTTGCTCTGTCACACTGGCTGGAGTGCAATGATCATAGCTCACTGCAGCCTCAACCTCCCAGGCTCAAGCAATCCTCCCACCTCAGCTTGGACTACAGGCATGTGCCACTGTGCCTGGCTGTTAGGTTGTTTTGGTAGAGACAGGGTTTCACTTTATTGCTCAGGTTGGTCTTCAACTCCTGGGCTCAAGCAACTCTCCTGCCTTGGCCTCCCAAAGTGCTGGGATTATAGGTGTGAGCCACCATGCCCAGCTAAAAATGCTACTTAAATGTAAGGACTTAATACTTTTTAACTTGAATTTGTGAAGTGGGCATTTTTCCTAGTTACCTAAGCCATTGTCTTCTCTGGGATAATTTTAGCCTTTCTTTTTAAGTGTTAGCAGGTTTGGGCTGCATCTGTAAATAATAGAAGAAGGCTGGCGCAGGTTAAGAACTATAATGGTCTACAGCCACTATGTTAAGATTACATCACTGTAAAGACTTCTTGCAAAATCTTTCAATGGCAGCTTAATGAATGGGAAAGATACAAGAAATCTGCATTTGTTTTTATCTATTCAACACAGTTAACTGGGCACCTACTAAGCAGCAGGCCCTGTGGTAAGCTCTTGGGTGAAGGATGAATCAGAAATGTCCCTGCTCCTAAGAAGTTACATACTGGCTATCCAGCCACTTCTCTCATTGTCCGTCACTACCACCCTGGTCTGAGCCATAGGCATGCTCTGCCTGGACTACTGCAATAGTCTCCTACTTGATCTTGCTTTTCTTCTTGTCTCTGAAGTCTATTTTCCATATAGTAGCTAGAGGAATCCTCTTAAAAAATATAGTTCACCCAGTTCATGTTTGTTCCTTCTTCCCAACCCTCCGAAGACTTCCTATCACTCTCAGCATAAAATCCCAAGTCCTACAAAGCCCTACAAAGCGCTACATGATAACGCTTGGTCTACCTCTCCTATTTCATTTCATAGCATTCTTCCCATCACTTGCTGCCCAGCCACTTTGGCCTCCTTGCTGTTCTTGAAACAGGTGAAGTATGTTCCCATCTCAAAGCCTGGAACTTGCTATTCCTTTTGCCTG